TCATGCGATTTTCAATCACATGATCAGTTTGTATTTTAATACTTAATTTTTGACGATTGTTGTTGACGATGCCTCGACGACTTTATTTAACCAGACGAAGTTGCACAAAAAGCCCATATATATGTCATGACTGGACCATGTCGACGTAGTCTTGTCACCGCCTTATGCTGCGTTTCAATGACATGCTCTACTTTCGTCGTTTTCTCGAACTAGGTAAAGCAGGTTTCGTTTTTTACTGTATAATTTGCGCGTCAGAGTTCTTAAAGTATTTGACGCTCTTCGGTTCGATACATCTATCGATTCGTGACGTCTGCATTGTTTTCCATCTTTTTGTGTCCTGCCGCTTGTGGCCAACGTTCAAGAAGAATACTTTTCACTTTGATGTTTATCTGTTTAGTAAACTGTTTTGTTATTAAGGTAATGTTTGATTATAAAATATTTAAATATACTAAATAGAGCAGTCTGTAATCGTCTAAATTGTCTGAAACTGTGCCAAGATTCGGCGAAAGATAAACGGTGGTGAAAGACATATTGTCCAACTGTATGTCATGATTTTTGAAAGCTTGCCAAACCTCTTGTTTTGCTCTTGGCTGCTAGGCTGAGTGCAGCCATGGGAGAAGATCAGATTTCAAAACTTGGCCGCATATCAGTCGGCTCAAGGAGTCACGGTAGATGGCTACACTGTGGAAATGACCAAAAGACGTTTACTTTGTTCCCCTGATCAATGCGAGAGAAAGCGGTTCTATGCAGAATGGCCTTGCGGCGTTCCTCTGTTATTGGGTCATTGATAAACATCTGGTGGCAGTGACAGCTCTTCATGAAATATAAATCGTTTACTACCAACATTGGACATAAAACTCATACATTTGACTTGTGAAACCTGTTAAAAGAGGACCTCAGGATACAGTCGTTGTGTATGAAATGATAATGATAACACCTGAACATTAGATAACTGATTGCATCGTGAACATTAAAGCGAGCGAGCAAATAAGCCTACTTCATTCTTGAACTGGTAAAACCTCTGCCAGAGGCATTTAAAGCGTTTAGTGATAAGCCGTTAACTCTGTTCGCAGGCGCAGCGTTCGAAAATGATAAATCATCTCTATGAAAATGACTATGAGTCAAGACTAGTTGCGGTCATTTTGCTTGTTGAAATTGCATGTACTCCGCGGTGTTTGTGTTCATTTATCTTATTATAAATCTTTGAATGGTGCCTTTTCCTATATTGAAGGGCGTCTATGAATTTCAGGTAGTTCTATGAATTGTGAAGTCGTTGGATGATAAAATGAAAGCATGTACCATGTCAACCTGACGTTGTTTGTGCATGTGGTGGGGCTGTCTTACGGAAATTGTGATGGTCTCCGTCACGACCTGAATGAAGAATAACACGATAGAATGAACAGGCTGTTGATAGATAAACCTTAATAGCTCTTATCCGTTACCTGGATATTATTAGCACTTTCTGCCTTCATGGCGCCGTTGGCAGTCCAGCGTCCAGGAAATGATAACGGCTGTAATTTCCGTTGTGATTTAATCTAGCAGGATTTAGCCATAAATTGCTACACTGGTAAAGTGAGTGTTGAGTTGATGAGTATTACTTCTTGCATGTTGCTGGAGATATGTTGATGGACATGTTTTCTACAAATTGCTGACATTTACGATAATGCGCTATCGATTTCGAGGGTCACAAGAGACCTGTTCTGTTACCAGCGCGTAACAAAATCTACTCTAATTGTATATTTGTGCATTATGGTACCCGAAGATGAATTGACGATGATTCATAATGAATGGGGCGGTGTTATAAAAGTATATTTATGACTCAACTCGATGAAATTTGAAACAAAAAAATATGGAAGTTTTGGAATATCTATCAAGGACGTTAGAAGAAAACAAGTTTAACATTTTTATTCTGCAAGACATCGAAGATGATTGCAAAGCAGCCGCATACACAATTGCTGGGTTCAGTATTGTGGCTAATACCTGTGACTCCAAACACGGTCTAGCTACATATGCCAGATTAGACCTCAAGGATGTCGCGGTGATAAACAGCAGCGAAAATCGGATTGGCGAGCACACAGACGAACTAATGGTCTCGAATACACTACAGTGCCCGTTGGAGAAATCGCTATAATCAACATATATAAGCGACCGGGAACCAATTGGCCAACACTACCATTACCTACGATGCCTCATCCAACTGCTTATATGGGTGACTTCAAAAGCCACCATACTGCATGAGGTTGCAGCGTAAAGAACTAACCGACTGGGCATCAGCAGCTGAGGTACACTGGTGCTACGATGCTAGAGAGCAGGGTACTTTCAGATCAGCAAGACGATTCACTAACCGAATCCCGAACCTTTGCTTTGTCTCCAAAGACATTCCAGTGGCATTCCGCTTCTTGCTTCCTGAACAGTGCTTACATTCTTTCCAAAAAGCCAGCACCGTCCCGTTGTGCTCTGAATCGGTCTGCAGGTACCGCTAATTCAGTCTGCTCCACTACCTCCCTGGAACTTTCGAAAAGCAAACTGATCATCGTACACCGCCGAAGTCGAAGACTGTATTCAACGGGTCTTGCCTTCGCCCCAAACAGTTGGCATTTTTGGTCGAATATTGATCTCTGCTGCGACAAACAGCAACCCTCATAGATACCGGAAGATCTACACCCCTTGCTGGTCGAAAGAGACAGAGGAACTTTACGCTGATGATTTCTTGAAACTGCAGCTGCTCTCGACTAATCCTTGAATTCAGATCGGCAGAGACCATGGTGGAAAATTGTGGAAATGCTGGATTTCACACATTCGAGTCGCAAGGCATGGACACTGCTCCGCCACCTTGGCGCAGCTGTACCTTCAAAGCACCGAGTAGCGAAAGTCTCCGCGGACGCCGTTGGTGCTCACCTCGATATGTCTAAAACACCGACAGATAAAGCTCTCTGCTTTCTCAGCCTTAACACCTGCCCTGAAACAAGCCCCCTATCCGCCCCATGCACTATAAAGGAAATGAGCGTGACACTGGTGGCCACGAAGAACAAGAAGGCTGCTGGTGTAAACGAATTTTTCCCGGGGTTTAGAGGGCTCTCAGTGGCTGGCCTCTTTTTATGACAGTCTGTACACCCGGAAATATTCCGTTCCAAAGCCGTGTCATATTGAGGCTCACCAAGAAAACCTTTGAAGAGGCCAGACAGCTACAGGCCAATCTCTTTACTTTGCATGGCCAGAAAACTGATGAAGCGAATCGACTGTTCAAGAAGAAGCTCACAGTTGAATTCTGCAGTTAACGATTGCAGCACTAAACAACGCTCAAATATTTGGGCATCACACTTGAACGGACCCTCATGCTTAAGTCACATCTGCAAAAGACACAGCAAAAGATCAAGACGAGAAATCTTGCCGGCACCTCTTGGGGGAGTAAGTGCCAGCGAACTGCACACTACGGCCCTGGTGCCCGCATTTTCTGTCTTAGGGTACTATTCCCCTGTTTGGAGCTACAGCTGCCACATCAGTAAATTAGACATCCATCTTAATGAAACCATGCGAATAGTAACTGGAACCATGAAGCCAACCCCAACAGAGCGGTTACCAATTCTGGCACGATTGAACCTCCTCACTTCCGGAAGGGCGTATCGCATTTTCGAGAACATTGATAGAAATCACGAGTTTGCCCGTTCATTATGTTCTCCAACAGTAACCAACGACGCCGCGTCTGTCTCGAGGAATGACGGCAAGCACAGTGGAGCGCTATAGCTGTCTATAACAAGGACCTAATCTCCAACCAGAACACAGATCCCCGTGGTATGGACTTGAATCGCCAAGAGTGGTCGAGAATAAGCAGGATTCGAACAAGACTAGGACGCTGTGGACACCTGCTCCATTGCTGGAAGATGAAGCCTAGTCCGCAGGGTGACTGTTGTCATAATGATCAGACCATGCAGCACATTATTTCTGAATACTCGCTGCGACAGTTCGACGGCAGCATAGCTGATGCCCAGAATACTACCGCGGCGACCATTCACTGGCTTAAGAATCTTGACATTGAAGTAAGAAGTTACTAGTCATCTCCTCCAGCCATACCTACAGAAGTAAAAGATCACTTTTCTTCACGTTGATTCCTGACTCAGTGGAATCAGGATTATGCAATGTTGATCATGTGATAGTGATACTTTTGCCACTTCAGCACTTAACTGCGAGTCAGCAAGTTGTTTACACTGTATACTTTTGACGGATTCGTAGTTTACTTATTTAATCACTGTTCTTATTGCTAAATCTTCCAACGTCATTCTCATCATTTAACGGAGTAGGTTACGACTGAACTACTTGCTTGATCGAAACGGCGATGTCAATTTAGCATTCGCGAAAGGATTGGCTGTTGACACCTTATAATCATACAGTTATACCAATTTTTATGCCTTAACGTAAATCTTTCTTGGGGAGGGATGTCCCAACTCTGTACTCGAACGGAAGGTTTGAACGCATCAGTTTATATCATTATCCTTAAAAACCGTTGGTAAATTATTAATCATACCGCCTGTCCTTTGATTTTGAACTGAAATTGACAACCTATGTACTGAAGTAAAATAAAATCTAAATGACTTTAAGTTGATGATACAGTGAAATAAAAGCCATGCCATAGAACTATGCAGATTGTTCACGCAGTTCACACTGTTAAGACCTTTTAAACGCACTGCAAACGATGATGCTGAGGTTTGTAGAAATTTCAGGATTTCTTGACTAGAAAATCGTATTTTAATATGTGTACTAGTGAAATTATGCACTTTGACATATATCATTGTTATTGGTATTGCACATGCCACTGTCTTCCTCACAAGGCAAGTTTCCCATCATAAAATGGATTGCTTTTTATGGTCAGTCACTGTTACAGTTAATGGCATTCGTTCTGTCGTAACGTTGCGGGAGTAGCGAAAAAGTTTTCTTTTGCTTGTTCTCGTGCTTCCAACCATAGAGTCAAAAAAACCTATAAGCTTTAA